TTTATACAGTTGGAGCTTTTCTATGTCCTGGGTCAAGCACAACTGTACATATACGTTTGTTGAAAGTGATGCGTCACACAATGGATGGGTTTGGGAAATATGATTGGTCAACGTACATAATCAAGAACCTATGGAAGGAAATGGGAGACTTTGTGAAGATGACAAAGAAGAAGAAGAAAGGAACCTACAATGTTGGAGGGTGTCTTTATTTGCTGCTGGTAAGTCAATATTTTTCTTATGGTTCACTATATTTTTGTCTTTTGTTATTGTTGCAGAAGTGTGACCTATCTTTATTTGGTTTTGCAGCTGTATTTTGTTGAGCGTTTCCCACTGGGATTGTCTGTTGACCGGGGTTCAACAAGCGCCATTGAATATTGGACCGAGGAGAAGATAAAGGAGAGGGTGGAGAAAGAGAGAGGTAGCAGCATGGGAATATTGCATGGAAGCAGTGGCAGCGAGGTATACTCAGCAGGACATGAGGACAGTCCAATTTTGCAGTCTTTAGATCCGGTATGTGGGAACTTAGAAAATATACGTGACCTGAGTTTAAGTCAGTCTATTAGCAAGGTTGATACTTGAGATGAAAAGACTTTATTTAGAAATGACCAGTGAGATACTGGCATTTGATAACAGTGAACAATTTTTTTGATATCTTCATTTATTGTGTATGCAGGCATTGAAGGAGTTGAGGGCTCGTTTTGTGAAGAAGCTTGAAGAAAGCCAGATGACGTTAATGAAGGCTCTTGATGATGAGCTACTCAAACTGCAGATTGGATTGAATGCCAAAGTTAAGGGGATGGGGAATGAGAATGCCACTGCTAAAGAAGGGGTTGAAACAGTTGGTGATGCAGCTGGTAATGATGCTGAAGAAGCTGATGATGTTGACCGTGAAGGGAATTGAAAGACGACGCGCAGCGGAAAAACAACTCGAAATTTTAAAACTTTCAATCCCTTTCCGGATCTACCGATCGCGTTTAAGTCAGGTAGTAAGAAGCATTACCTTTAGGCGTTCGATTCCCTGGTGACTCAATGATTCGGCCGTTCAGGATGCTTCTGCTCGCCTCCTTTGTCGTTCGAAGTCGACAACTTCGGTCGGCTTCCTCTACCGGTATCCACACGAGTAGCCCTCAACCTCGAACGGCGTGCTAGCGCCTATGTCCGTCTAGGGTTTTAGGAATCCGCCCTCTCTCCTCTCTGAGGCCGTCTCTTATCTGTTGGTTCTCTCTTGCTTAAACCCTAGCTCCTCATACCAATATATAGGATGCTATATAGGTTTAATTAATAATATTTAATTTCGAAATTAACTCTAAATTAATTCCGAAATTAATACAATATCAAATATTGCCTAATCAGATAAGAGAACAATTAAATAAATATGGTTTAAATTAAATCCGTCTCACAGATTTAATTCTCCTATTTATTTAACAAAGAGATGACGGAATTAATTTGTATATATTTAATTTATCCTTATAAATTAAATCTAACAATTAATATCTTTTATATTTATATATATATATACGAATTTATATATATATATATACACGTCCACCCTATATTATTCATTGAATCTGGATATATCTTAGATTCAATGAATCTGGACATCATAACTCGTGTCGGGCTATTTTGTGTGCGACCCTGTAGGCCCATATGAAGTTGGCAGTGGGCCATTAACTATAATGACCCACAAGTCGTAAGCGGTCTCTAGCAAGACATCACGACTACCCAAATCATATGAGGATCATTGAACGATGCAACCTTTCATACAACCATATCACGTCCCTTTTGTCTCACGACATTTTGGTCATGGATGAGGCATGGAGAACGTCATCCTCCTATCCATGACCGTTACTTTCTCGATCCCTGAGTAGTCTGAGTATAGAAATGGAACTACCTTTCCATTATAGTATGGCCATACATTTCTCAGACTCACTCATCGAGGGGCCCAGTAATGTCTCTCTACGAATGTGAGGGACAAATTCCATCTTGACCATTCACATTCCTACGCATGAAAAACCACTAAGCCTGAACATAGTCTTTATGATCACTTGGTCAAAAGTGACTTTTGACTAGGTCAAAGCTAAGCGTTTCTCATGTATGAATCCATGATGATCTCAGGTCAAAGGGCACAGTGACATGGTTTGTATATGAGAGAAGCTTATGACTTAACCCATGCAGCTCTCTCATAGCGGGTCGGTCCAACACCTTGTACTCTTACATGTGCCTATGACTTTAATTTATATCTCTATATATCTTTAAAGTCATACTGGTCTTATTTCATCTTTGCTCCCACATAGATGACCGACCAGGGACATTTAGGATAAACCATGAGTTATCCAAGGATAGTTATCACAGTAAATATGCAAATAATATGATAACGTAATTAATAAACTCATAAATTAACAATGTTCAAAACATAATGATTGGCCCCTAGGGCACAATTTCCAACAGACCGAGTGGTGGAGGAGATTGCAAGAGAGGTTGCAGCGAGAAGTGCAGATGAGGAACTTGATGAGGATGAAACCAGCAAAGGAGATGATGAGAAGGATGAGGATGAGGATGAAGAACAACATGACCTTCATGACAGGGAAGTCAGTGATGATTACATGGTTGAGGAGGTGGAAGAAGAGGGTGACCGTGATGGTCATGGAGGTGATGACGACGACGATGAGGATGAGGAGGAAGATGACCATGATGACATGGAAGTCAGTCATGATTATGTGGTTGAGGAGGCCGAAGATGATGATAAGGAGGTTCGGGATTCAGATGATGAGGGTGAGGAAGCTACACATATACTGACAATGACCCCTACCAATGTTCCTTTGCTGTTGGATCGCGAATGGATAAGCAGTGACAGTGGGGAGAAAGGAGGGCCTGAAAAATCGATTGACCTTAGGAGGTCAACAAGGGCAAAGAGTTCCACAATTAAATCTCCGTGGATAGAATTCAAGGCAGCTCCAAGGACGAAGAGGCCAAAGGAGGAAAGGGACATCTTTTTCACTTTAATATCCCGTAGACCCAAGGGAGAGGAAGAGGGGAATATGTAAGTATATCCCTAGCTAGCGTTTTGTTTTTAATGACACAGTGTGCCCTGAAAATGACAGCAATAGAATTGAAAATGACAATAAAATACATGGGAATGACAAGTATTGATGTCCTCAACACCATACTTTCTGTCACTGACATCTGACAATGTTTGCAGGACTGTCATCAAAATGTTTAATGAAGATATAGACCGACAACAGCTGTTTTCCCTGGGTGGAGTGAACAGAGTAAATAACAGGGTATTTTAGAATGCTCTGTCCCTGCACCCATGATTACGTTTGATAATGTTTGGTGAGATTATTGTACCAGAATGACGTTTTCACTTGTGTTCTGTAGGTGCTTAATTTAGTGTGCAAGGCAGAGTTGGGGCCAGGGAAGAGGCACATTTTTTATGTTGATTTCATGGTGAGGTTGCATAATTCCAAATGCAAATACCAATGACAACAATTGAATTGGAAATGACTTGTTCTCTGTTAATGGATTAACAATTTCATGTCATGCAGAACATGATGGCACATGATCCAACCTGGAAAGTCCAAAAATATAAGAAGCTCTTTCTTCCTAAGTTCCTTGGCTACAACTTAGCTGAATGTGATTTCATAATTGGTCCTGCTCTTGTTGGCCAACACTGGTTTTGTGTTGCCATTCAGCCTAACACATTGGATTTTCACGTAATAGACTCCATGAGGAACCATTTTGGAACCAAGGACAGAAAGCAGAAGAAGAAGGTTGTCATCAAAGACCCAGTGGAAATGGCTGTGGATGACTGTGTAAGAAAAAACTCATTATCTTTACCCTAGTTTTTGAACTTGAAAAATCATTAAACTTTCTATGTTGGTCCTGAATGTTGTTGCAGAGGATGAGGCTCAATATTATACTGGACTTGGTCAAGCCAGGATTGGTTAGGAAAAAGCCAATGTCTCCCATGATATTTGTAGAAGTTCCCCAGTAGAATAACCTGTCAGTTTTGTCAAATTCGATTTCTGTGGGGTAAATGCACATGTCAGATGTGTTAACTAACTGTGCTGATATTGTTGCGTCCATAGGAGGGATTGTGGGGTGCACTGCATGATATGGCTGAGAAGATGGGAACCTGATGTGACCCTTACCTACACAGAGGAAGAAGTTGCTGGCTTTCGTCATGACCTGACATGGTGGTTGGTGAATCATGAACAGAATGAAAAACGTGACGAGGCATTGTCCCTTATTCGACGACCACAACCAACCAAGAGCACAAAGTCCAAGAAAAGGCGTCGGTCTTAGGTGTCTCGATGTTAGGGTCATAATTCACTTGTCCTCTGTTAGATTGCTGTATGTAATGTGCATTGTAGGCTGACCAAAAATTTACTGTGTATTGTTATGGTTAACAGAGATTGGTGTCCATAAATGTATGATAGTTGAGAACCATGATGCCAATTTATTCCCCAGTGACATGAATGAATCTGGTTTTAACCACACCAAAACAGATGATGACAACAACCCCATTGGACATGTGCTATTGGTTTTCATTTTTTGTTCAGGTCACTAAATTTTACTTCAATATATCCTGTTGGTATCCAACAGAAAATGACACCAAGTGAAGCGAATATGACAGCGATAATGATAAGGATAACCTGGTCTGATTTTACAACATGAGTTCAACACGGCTGTCAGCTTATATTGATAGCATCACTGCCAATGACCAGAACAAATTTAAAAATGACAACAAGTAATGCGCCATTAACAAAAGCTAACATCCCCATAACAGTAACTTCCTTTCATGTATTCAACAACAAGTGGACATTAAGATATTAGCCACACTTAATGCTCCGTTATCACTGAAATTTCTATCAGCTTACTTATAAAAAAATGTCTCCACCTAGCTCCTAACTACAACCCCAGTCCCAAAAAAGTTGACAAGGGCGGAGCATACAACTATGTACACCAAAAAATGACCCATCCCCACTGTACTCGAAACTTCATGATGGGTTAGGATTTCTGCAATTCCTCCTTGTGTGTCCAGGCTGGTGGCATCTTCCACAGTGGTATATCCATTTGTTCTGGAACTGTGATTCATCCCTGTTTACTTTTGGCCTTCCTGGTGGTCGGGATGTCATGGGAGGTAGCAAGAAAACTTGCTCACTAACATTTTCTATTCTATAGTAGTCATTTGGGTGAGGCATGTATGTTGTTACCACAGGAATCATACTGCGAGCATAGATCTTTTCTTGTGATGACTTTTTATAGCAATTATCAATATAATCATAAACATTGCCGTGCACAATCTTGATGGCAGCACAAGCATGGGAACAAGGGATCCCTGTCATTTGCCAAGATCTGCAACTGCATTGGTGTAGTCCAAGATCAACCCGATGGTCTCCACATGATGTTGTCACCTTCACTCTTCCCCCACCATAATTTTCAGCAGACATATGGTCAGACCCAGCCACCATATCCAGCACCTTACTCTCTATATTTGGACCAACGCAATTCTTCCATTTGGTCATAGCCACATAGGAGGCATGCAGCTTTCTTGCAACTTTATCTCGGTGCTCATAGATCAATTGGGGTACAGTATGCTTTCTCTCATTCACCATCCATGCATTGAATGATTCTGCTATATTACTTGTAATATTGTCCCATCTTTTATATGGGAACCTACTTTTAGCCCACCTATCTACATCCCCATAATGAATAAGCCAATCAAATAGCCTTGGAGAAAAGGATCTCATGTCATCCATTGCTGCCTCAAATTTCTCATCCGTCCTTGCGTATGCAATTTTATCCAATAAATATAGTGCATCCTCCTTTGATCGGCCATTTGTCCTTGTTTGCCCCTTATTCATTTTCATAACTTCTGAACTAAAATTCTCCTTGATGTGTCTATAACAAAAGGCATGCCTTTGACCCCCAAAGATTGATGCCACTCCTCCGATGATAGCATTGTGTCGATCTGATACAATCATTACTTCTATAGAACCCAGGATTTTTTTTATCATATAGAAAAACCATGTTCAGTCATCTAGTGTTTCTCCCTTCACAATTGCAATTGCAAATGGCAGCAGCTCGTTATCTGCATCATAAGCTGAAGCTGACAACATTGTCCCCTTGTATGGTCCGCTTAAGTGAATTCCATCAACATACATAATATGCCTCGCGCCACCCAAGAAACCCTCAATGCATGCCCCGTAGGCAATGAAAACACGCTCAAACCGGTTCCCAATAGCAGTCCATTCAGCCACTGATTTTTCATCTGTTTCCTTTATCCTTTCGCATACCTATGGTATGAGCATGTATAATTGTTCAGGCCTGCCATATATGTCTTCCAGTGACTTCTCTCTTGCTCTATAAGCCTGTTTATATGTTAGATCAATCCCATACTCTCGTTTCAACCTCTTTCTTATCTCAGAAGTGCGCTTGTCTGCATGATCCCTCATCTCATCAATTATTATTGATGAGTTCAAACTAGCTCTTCCACTATGCATCACGTCCAAGCTATCTTGGGCAGAATGAACATGCCGGTTTATAAATGTCATCACTCGTAGCACATCACAACTCTTCCCCACATGATTTGCACATAGCTTCCATGGACAACCCTCAACTTTACACCTTATCGACATGAATTCCTTGCTATTCCTCATATACTTGGCCACAAACTTGTTTGCAAGTGCAAACTTGTATACAGACACCCAAAATACATCTGCACTAGGAAAACGTTGGCCCACTCCTGTTAAAAGTCCCCTCCATTCCGCATGAACCATCTCACTACCATCTGTATCTTCAGCTTCGATAGATTTATCCACATTAGGGGGCCCACTTATTTCATCATAGTCACATTCACGAGCATTTTCTTCACTGAGCCAGCCATAATCACAACACAAACTAATGGGAGACGCATCCAGTTCCGTTTACTGTGACATGCCCATGAATCTCTCTGTTCTGCATTCATAATGATAAGACTCATTAACACAAATGACAAGAAGAAATTCATAAATAACAACAAATAGTTAGGACAAACTTCCACTTACATTTCTACATTGTCCCTTGGTTGGGGACCCACTTGTCTTTTTTCGGCCACATACACATGACCGCTGTTCCCATTGTATTGAAAGAGGTTATACATTTCAGCATTGTCATGAAGGTCAATCAATGTCTTCTCATCAAAGGCCACTGTGTACTTAATGTCATAATTTCTTCCATCGCCACCAATCAACTCAGATATCATTAGCCTCAATTCATCAAGTGTCAGCCCATCCTTAATGCTTCTTAACCTCATGCCACCTCCATTATATCTCACTTCACCTTCACCATTTGTCACAAATTTCCCCCCACATGAAAATAACAGAACAGCTCCTTCCCATAAGATGACCCAGCTTCGAAATTCATTTATCTTCATTACCTGCACTAATAACAGAAGTCGAATGATTACATGACTTAATACCATCATCATCAACTTACACGACCAACTTAGGGTTTGACACATTCATGCTTATAATTTGTAACAAAACACTCATTTCTTTCCTGTCCACACTAATGCTTCATTTTCTCAGAATCAATCCACTCCATTATTCGAATCTCCCTCCAACATTGTCCATTTATCTGACACTAATCACTCTAACCCACTTGTGACGCCATCAAACCCCTCTCCCTCAGTGTTTTTCCTTCCCCGTGCATTCACCCTCTGATCACCGTCCTTCCCCACACTTTCTATATACCCATGCCGTCTCCATGCTTCGCCACCCTCTCCACCTCAAAACCATCCCCACATCGACGACATTGCCATCCAACGGGAAGAGGAAAATCAACCGGCGCATGAAGGAGAGGGACAAAAGACAGAGGCGAACAATATAGTCACTGAATACTAACCTCGCTTCCGTCATTCAGTTGTTGCTTCGCGCGTTCATGCTCCCACGTTGGTGGTCCCTCCCAACTTTTTCCTCCAGCTCCCGCCACAACTTGCACACTTCCACCGGTCACTTTTTCGGTTTGCATATAAGGGGTTGTTTCGTAATTGTGCAACATTTGCATAATCCCAAATCAGGCAACACTTCCCTATCTGGTAATACATTTGCTTAGCTTCCCATTTTGGCATTTTATTATTTCAGGCTTCTTTATCTGTCATTTTCCCTATTAACTATTTATTAATTACATTTTTTATATATTATTTATTATGTTGGCAAAAAAATATATTATTAACAAATTTATTACTTCAAATAAAAATATATTATAAAATTTATCTTTTATGTAATTATCATATTAATTTATGTCTTTTTTAGTAATTCGCATATATAAAAAGTGCTTCTGATAACAACTATCTAAACACTCTCACTTTATTAGAATCACACTTTTACAAAATCTATTCTTTCAAATTCTATTCTAAAAAATAACTATTTTTCCAGAAACTATTCTCCAAACTATGATTTGGTTTTATTTAAATATCCCCAAAGCCACAAAGAGCGAATATCTTGAGATGTGAAGACGCATTGAGAAACTTCATTATGACATAGTTCCATGGACCAATCCAACCCCTTAGGACCTGTTTGGTTGGAGGGGAGGGTGGGGGAGGGGAGGGAAAATGAACCCCTCCCCTCATTTGGTTAGAATTTTTAGAGGGGAGGGAAAATGAACCCCTCCCCTCATTTGGTTAGAATTTTTAGAGGGGAGGGAACCTAAAATCTCTCCTCCCCTCTACTCTTCTCCCCTCATTTTGGTCTCTTCCAAATTTAGAGTTTTTTGAAAAGGAGCCAAATTTTGTGACTAATTTGCCCTCATATATTTTATAATATTCCATCTTTGCCAAGACTCAAACTCTACACTCATTCACTGTTGCGCCCTTCTCACCTTGCTATCAATTCCCTTCCACTTCCCCTCCACGCTAATTCATTGGTCGCAACAGCAGCCAAAAAGCCAATATTATTGGAAAATCTTTAATTTCATAATAACAAAGAAGCCAAGATGTGAAATTTGATCAGATTTTAATATTTATTGGTAGTTTTGTTGCAACCAAGTTTAAATAAAAAAATTTAATAACCTTACTAATACTACCCAAAAAATACTAAATCAAGTAGCTTAGAGCAAATTTGTTAATTTGATTTTCTAAATAAATATTTTATCAATTAGATATAAATATCACTACATCAATTCCTTTATACACACATAAATACGTTGATATGTGAGTGAATTTTTATGAATTATTCAACTCGAAATAATGTGTAAATTAATTTATTCAAAATAGAGGTAAAAAAAAATAAACTAAAAGGGTATAATAGTAAATTAGTTATTACCTCCCCTCCTGGCTCAAACCAAATAATAGATCATTAAATATCTCTCTCCTCCTCTCTTTTCAAATCAAATCAAATAAGGTAACGTTAAAACCTTTCCCAACCTCTCCCATCTTATCCTTTCCTTCTTCACCTTAAACCAAACAGGCCCTTAAGAACCTTGCTGCACTGAGTGTTTATTGTACAGCTTGGGGTAACACCCGAACTCCATCCATTCTGACCTGAATGAACCTCCAGTTGGGTCAAGCTTTAAAGTGTTGGAATATCATAATCACCAGGAAAAAAATGACGCTGCACGAGCAAAGATCAGTCAAAATAAAAAATGCTTGAATATATAATATTACCTCTGGTCATTAATGTCTTTAGTTTAATATAAAAGTTACTTGACTAATTTAATAATTTAAATAGATTAAAAAATTAATTAAATTAATTTTTTGTAATAAATAGATATTATCTTTCCTAAAACATCCTTATTAATCACGTATATTAGCTAGAATTATTCTTGTCACAAGACTACCTCAAAAAAAATATATGAAAAATAAAATAAATTAAGATCTTATATTTAAAATCAAAATAAAAATCAAATCTGTTTGTATATTAATTATGCTTACATTTCTGTAAGCATAGAAATGTAACATTAGAAAACGCTTGCATGGGATTAATAGATCTCCTGGAACCAGTGCCATAAATGTCCAGTTTCGTATTCTCATAATCAGGTAACTCCACATCCAGTAGCAGCAATTCTTGAAGACGAACAGATCCAGAAAGAAGCACTCCTAAACTTTCAGCATCCGAGAATTCAACGTACATCATATGCAGGGCTTTAAGGGATGGCAGATTAACAGTAGAAAGTTTACTCAACAGCTAGTCTAGTCCAGACAACAATTTATCTGAAAATGATAAGTTTTGATTAGAAAATGACAAGCCTAAATTTGATATTAACAAAATGTTTTTTCTTATATATGACAGAAAATAACATGTGCATTAATTATAAGGACAACAATTAATTTGAAAATAACATGTCTTGATGGGGAAATGACACGTTTAAATTTGACATTAACAATATATTTTTTTCCTGATACATAACAAAAAATAACTGTGCATTAATTAAAAATGACAATAATTTTCCTAAGAATGACAAGTCTAAATTTGATATTAACAAAGCGTTTTTTCCTGATACATATATAGCGGAAAATAACATGTGCATTAATTAAAAATGATAACAATTTATTTGGGAATAATAAGTCTTAATTGTGAAATAACAAGTCTTGATTGTAACTAGACTAGCTATGCCTGTCACACACATAAATAGAATTTTCAATATTTATACCTAAATGACCACTACAAAAAAACAGCTTATTAGCGACGAAATTGGTTCCGTCGCAAATTTGGGACGGAATTTGCGACGGAAATTTCGTCGCTAATTTTTTGGATGGATTAGCGACGGAATTTCTGTCCGTCGCTAATCCATATTTAGTGACGGAATCTTTTTCTGTCAGACAATTCCGTCGCTAATTCCATCACTAATCCATAAAAAAAAATTAGCAACGGAATTAGCGACGGAATCTTTTTTTGTCAGACAATTCCGTTGCTAATTCCGTCGCTAATCTATCAAAAAAATTAGCGACGGAATTTGTTTCCGTCGCAAATTTTAAGAAAATAAATTACATAGAATATATATACATGTAGAAAAATACTATTTATCATAATCTATTTAAATCATTTAATTTTTTATATAGAATAATTTATTAAATTTTATTATAGTAGTTATTTTTTGAATTTTTTGAATAACAAGATTTTTTGACTAATTGTAAATGATTTTCTTCAAATATATAAACCACATATACATAATATAATATAATGTAATATAATATATATAATTAAATTGTATATCTTATCAATGTTAATTAAAAAATAAATTTAAAAATTATTTATGAAAAATTATTTATGATGTAAAATTCAAAATTAGTGTCATTAGAAATTAAAATTATATTAAAAATATTTTTAAAAAAATAAAAAATTATAAAAATAGTAAAACAATATTTAAAAATTATTTTTTCATTAAAATAGTTATGATTAAAATTATCATATAGTATATTTTTAGTTTTTAATAATCTATATAATTGTTTGTCTAAAATAATATAATATATATTTAATTTTACATAATAAGTCAACAGGTTCATTGCAGCTCAACTGGTAAAGCCGCACGTGTGCACGGAGAAGGTCCTGGGTTCAAGCCATGGAGAAGTCACTTTAAGAAGGGAATTATGTGGTGATGACACGTGGCGCATCCGTGGCAAGCGGAGGTGAGGTGACAGCGACACGTGGAGGTGGTCCCAGTGATGATGTGGCAATTGGTAGAGGTGCCACGTGGCATTTTATTTTATTTTTTAAAAAATCGAATTAGCGATGGATTAGCGACAGAAAAAATTCCGTCGCTAAATTGAAAATTCCATCACTAAAACCATGTTTTTTTGTAG